TTAAGTGGAAAAACTCAGAAAAGTGAACAATCTGCTGGGGAACGTAGTGGATCATCAGGGTTTAGTGGAAGCAAAATAGAGCTAAAAGAAAAGTGGATTTTTGTCTGTTTCACTTTTTCAATGTTACTCTGTATTCATCTCCTTTAGCTCATTAGCTCATCCAGGCGAAGTACATTATCTTTGAATACGTCAATTCATCAAGTCATGTTTGACGAGCTAAAGCTATATTTCTTGAATCTCGATTATTCTGACACCTCACGGTACGTTGTAATATCCCATCATCGCCTTTCACTCGCCTACTTCCATCTCTCTACACTGTAATGTCTTTCTAACGTTTTCAACCCAATGTCCTGTCCTCTCATTATTTACTTTTCCTCCCTGGGTCATGCCGTCTGTTTGGAGTTTCTTGTTCGGTGGGTCATCTTCTCTGCCTCTTTCATTCCCCTTTCGTCCTCCTATAAACGCTCTATCTTCTTTTGTATTTGTAGAATACTCTTTGCAACTTGACAGCAGATGCAGCATTTAGAAAACATTCAGCAACTTCAGGAAACATGCGCAGCGTTTACTAAAAGCTGCAGAAACCAAACGCTGCAAGAAGCTCAAACACAACAGAGACCAGTTTTGCCCCGGGCAAAACACGCACGCACGCACGCACGCACGCACGCACGCACGCACGCACGCACGCACGCACGCACGCACGCACGCACGCACGCACACACACACACACACACACACACACACACACACACACACACACACACACACACACACATGATGAGTCATGATGAAAAAAGTATACTGTCGTCCTGTGTTTGAATGGTAGAAATGTGAGGGTGGTATAAATGCATTTGAATGCTGTTTATATTTAGAGAAGCAGTGAGACAAGAGAGATGAGAAGTGAAGGGGTTAGACTCAATGTAAATACAGACAAGAGTAGAGAAGCTGCATGATGGGAACATGAGGGCTCACATGACCTGTGTCCAAACAATACGCTTTGGATGAGGATTGTTTTTCCAAATAAAAGCACCAGAAAGCAACAGCACAGCTACTGCTATCAATACATACATCAGGCAATATTAGCAAGAGGATGAGAACCAAGAGCCATTGGTCAAACCGCCAACATTTCTCGTTGGGGATTTTTCTAGTTAATAGTTTGGGGAATTTAGGGAATAGTTTTTAAAATTGCTTTTGCATTTGTTCCTGAAAAGGAAGCGACTTCAGCTTGGTCGTCTTCAACCCAAATATTGCAGTTGACTTTTTGTGGTATCTCCAGAGCTCTGAAGTATAGTTGTAGACATGTAGATGTATTTTATGATGACGTGCATGTAATTTACTTAACCATAGTAGGATTAGCCACTTAGCCATTAGCACGCTGTCAAAGCTTGAATTGAAAGTGTAGTTTTTTTAATGTTGTTTTGAGGTAAAAGCAAGGTGTTTTAGCTTTTCAGAAAGATAGATTCCTAACTTTCTATAAAAAGATTTGGAAAAAGCAAGGTGTTTTAATAATAATAATAATAGCTTGGATTTATATAGCGCCTTTCAAGGGACCCAAGGTGTTTTAGCATTGTTATTTTGAGTTGGAGGAACTTGCCAGCTCTGTATTTGCATTTCCATTGTAAATATTCTGCAGAAAGTGTTAGCTTTAAGCTCCTCATCCCTCCCTCGGTCTGTCTTTTCTATTTTCTCTTGTCTCTCGTCTCATATTTCCATCTGAACCTCTGCACACCCTCCTCCCACGCCCCCCCCCTCTCCCCCTCTCCCCCTCTCCCAGTCTAACCACTATACTCCCCAGATACAACTGAACCACAGAGAACACACTCAGCCTGCAGCTGTTTAACCCATCGCTGTGAGGAAGACGAGGAGCCCAGGGGAGCCGTGGAGAGAAACCAGCCACTAAACAAGCTCTTCTCTTAAAGTAGAAACAGCTACATACATAATGGTGTTTACCTCACGGCAGCACACATACATAATATAACAACCCAGTCTCACAAAACAACGTGTACTAGCTACGTTGGTCCACTGGGCAAAACGTAGTCTATTCACAAATAACCCTCTCAAGACGTGACATGGATACAATATGTGTTCCTATTAATTTCTAATGACCAGTGTCCGTGTCACGTGATCGCAAACTTTCCCAGAGAGAAAAAAAAACATGGCGGACACCTAATTTATTTATAGTGGAAAATCCTAAATTGTTGGATGGTTTGGCCGTTAAAATGCTTTTTGATTACATTTCTAGCGAGAAGTGTGTATTGTACTTTTAGAACCTACGTCCAGTGGATGTGTAGGATCCATAGTTTGATAGATATTACCAAGATTATTTGAGCTCCATGTATTTGTTTACAAAATATTGTATCCATGTCACGTCTTGAGAGGGTTATTTGTGAATATAATAAGTTTTGCCCTGTGGACCAACGTAGCTATTACACGTTGTTTTGTGAGACTGGGTTGAATATACCACAGTTATTATTCAAAGTGACTGTAGGAGCCAAAATGCTTATATAGCTGTTGTTTATTATTTTCGTTATTTCTTCATAATTTCTCACTTCCGGCAATTACCATATGGGGTTTTTTGTATTTTTTTGCACCTGGTGTTTGTCAGGGTTTGTGGAAAGATGAAGAAGGTGAGCTAGGTTCACTGGTTATTGTTTGTTTTGCTTTGTTCATAAAACATCTTAAACTTACCATTAGTTCGAACTTGTATCATTTCAACTCGACAAAGTACTGAGCCGTCTTAGCCTTTCTAACGACTTCATTTAGTGGAAATGTTTCTGCCACAATTACATCTAACAACAATGGTAAATCGTAGTGTTGTTGGATAGTAATGTCAGCCCATCAATATTCTAAACTTTAGTCCAGAGCGATATATCTTTACAATCGTTTGATGGGTGGACAGATGCCTCCTGAGATGCAGTGGATGCAGGATTATTAACCCTAACCATTAAAACTCTTATTTACAGAAATGCTCAAAAGTAAAAGCTAATCTGTTCGATTCATACTCAAGGTTTACATGTCGTTTTTATTTCTTTCTTTACTGTCTAAGACGTTAAATCAGTATTTAATAGAGAAGTAATTCTGGAATAAAATCCGCCCCACACGGCCTGATCAAAATGAGGTTAAAGGTTAACAATATGAGTTTGCTTGAAAAAAAGAAAGCCTTAAAGTTCAAAGGGTTTGGTTATAAGTATCTTATATTTAATTATAATATCTGTATATCTATCTCTGTTTAGTGAGTCTTGATCCATAAAATAACACCATCAGTTGGACAAATGAGACCAGTTTTCCTCTACAGACAGCCTTCTTACTTACATTTTAGGATGGTTTGACAATTAAAACAAATTGGTTTATAGTCTAATTGGTTTTGAAATGTATTATATTTTTTGTAAATGTGTTATTGTGTAGAGTGTATGGTTTGTTGCCCCCTAGTGGCCATTTGGTGGCCTAGTGGTGGTTTCTACTAACCAATGAAAGTGTAGTGTTTTGCTAAATAACATTTACACACAATGGATCTAAGTGCAAGTATTATGTTTGATATGCAAATTAGGCTTTATGCTAACTGTTGGTGAATTTAGGAGAAATCTCCAGACACAGTTAGTAAGATAAACTCATGGATGTGGATTTAGACTTTTTTCCGTAGTAAGGAAGACATTTGAGTGAAGCAAAGAAACAAAAGATTTTAAAATGGTTTTAAAACATGCTCCATATAAAATGGTGTAGGTCATTGGACAGTAAAGGTAACTGCCATGATGGATGGCTCCTCTTGCCCCCAGAGGCCGGTTCGAGCCCTGTGGTTACGCCTCATTGAGCAGAACTGTTATTGTGGTTTACAGCCTAATAAAATACCAATTACTCTGAAAATGGGAAGTACCAAATATCCAAACATCCCCCGAGGACTAAGGCTCATTTCCAGAGTAAAAAAGATAGGAGGAAAAATATTCTGGCTCAACACAGACCAGTCTGTTCCTCACAGTAAAACATGGAGGCAACAAAAGTCTGATTAACATTTAGATGACAGTGTTATTCACCGTTTAGTTTACGACTGGCTCTCTATTACTACTATTGCATGCATGTAAAGCCGCATTGGTGTATTTATATATTGAATTCCAGTAAAAAGTGTAAACAACCATTGCATTTTGCAAACTTTATTACAAAACAAAAATATGCTTTACTATGGGAAAAATGCTTTAAGTCTATCAGTTTGAAAATACAGTTTAAAGAAGGGATTTATGATATTTTACAGTCAACCTATTGAGCACTGTCGTTGCATCTCAATCACTTCTGGAGCTTTTCTTAATCACTTCTCAAAAATAATCATTTACTATCATTTTTACTAACATTTTCCACTATTTTGCATGTTATTTTTGACTGCATGCTGGATGAACACTTTATAATAGCAGTGCTGTAAGATGCTGCATAAATAAGGTATGATTATCATAAGCATCTATTACTTTATCACTTTGGAAAAAAGTATTTTCCCCTTTTCTATTAGTCTGACACGCTCCAATCCTGTTTAAGAGTTTTCCTCTCAGCGGCACTGGAAAAAACACTGCTCCAAAAACAAGTAAATATATAATAACAAGGTGTTTTCTCTTTTAATAAGTGAACAAATCTGGCAATAGATCAAGTACAAAATGGCTTGGTAAGATTTCTTGAAGTAAAGATGGGATAATTAGATAAATGACATCTTGTATTTAGCTGGGAAAACTTATTTTGAAGTATATTTGACCAGAATTAGGGAATTTGTAACAAAACAAGCCAGAAATGCTTAGACATTTTCTATTTTCTGATGTTAGTTGGAGATATTCCTATAAAATAAGATGTTTTTAAGAGATTTTGACTTAAAAAGATGCTTAAGATGCCTTATCTAAAAACAAGACTTAAGTTATTAGGTTTTATATCAAGTGTAACGACATATTCTGACTAGAAAATAGACAAATATACTTGGCAAGATTTTACATTTTTGCAGTGTGGTTAGTGTTTCACGAGGATTTGATGATGTTTCAGGGGCTGCTGATGACCTCCTGGATCCACTCAGTGAGCCTGGTGATGCGGGTGTAGACGCCGTAGAAGTCTGGACGCCCGCAGCCTTTTCCCCAGCTCACGACCCCGGCCAGGAACCAGCGCCCCGACGGCTCCTGGCAGACCAACGGCCCCCCGGAGTCCCCCTGCAGAGAGGAAAGCAAGGGTGGAAGATTTAAATGTCTCTGCAGGACAAAAGGACCATAATAAATGACAAGTTATCACTCAGTGCTTGCATGAGTGCTCTATAACTCCTCACCCTTCAGTAAAGGGAACTGAGAACTTCCACACCAACACTATGTGCAAAATAAATAGCATTACCATCATTACAAAACACTCGCTGCTATATAACATGTGCAATATTATTATTATTAATAATGTCCTATGATAACGTGCAATTACGTATCTGCCACTACGTTTTTTTGCCATGTCATATGACAAGTTATCACTCACTGCTTGTATGTCTGGCTTTTTAAGCTGATGAAATGCTCTGTACTGCAGCCTGAGGACTTTCAGGATGTTCACAACATGCAGAGGAAGTTAGATTTGTTCAACTGTTGTTCCTTTTGGCAGATATACACGCAGACAAAAAATAAGAAAGTAAATACATCGTGACAAGATTTCCCCATACTGAAATGTTTAATTTAAATGTATTATTTAAGATATAACCCTACTGAATAAAGGAAATGTGCTTGTCGTGCCAAACAAAAACCATCTGCACATGTGCTTTGATTTAAACCAGCATGAATAGATTTGTATTTGTTGCCACATGGGGGCAGCACAGCCCCAGCTCTAAATCAATTGAAGTCGAGTATGTCGGCAAACAGTAGCTTTGTTAGCCGACACAAAGCTACATTAGCATTTAAAATTACGTTTCTGTGCGCCCAACAAATGAAAAGCTCAATAGACCCTGTTGGCTCTGTTTTGTTCTCAACCAAAAAGTGAGGGTAACATATAGCTATAGCTCAACAACGTTCATCAGTTGGTTGTGTTTTTGTTCCTTTGGTGCTATTAAGAGAGTTTGAAATGAGTTTTTGGAGTTATTTCAGTGCAACAGACTCGACCAAATCACCAGACAAATAGATCTGGCCTAGTAGGAATGTTGTCAACAGGGTACTTATGTGGGTTAATTTCCACAGCTAACATTGTTTATGCTACCTAGAAATAACCATTATTCCGCTACCTGGGTATAGTTACTGTAAGATATTTAGTTGAGTTGCCTCTTAGCAAAATGTTCCCAAGCCCTAATCACAGTGCAGTTTTACATTCACTTGTGAAAACGAAGAAAACACTTTGAATTACATCTTCAGTTTTGGTTTGTTTCTGTGTACCTGACAGGCGTCTTTGTCTCCACTGCGGTAACCAGCGCAAAGCATTCTGGGAGTGACCAGGTGACCGTAGGAGCGAACGCAGGCTTCCTCGCTGACCAGGCGAACGTCCACCTTCTGAAGCACGTTACTGGCACTGCCTGAGGAAGGCAGAGGGCAAAGGTTACCAGTGGAAAGACTCATAATATTTGATTCTTTATACAATGCCTGGAAGACAACAACCCTCGTCCTTCTTCCCCTTACATTTAAAGGTCACCGATTATGCAAAATCCACTTCTTCATGTCTCTTCTTCATCAACATGTGTCCCCTCTTCTCCATGTCTCTTCTACATCAACATGTGTCCCCTCTTCTTCATGTCTCTTCTACATCAACATGTGTCCCCTCTTCTTCATGTCTCTTCTACATCAACATGTGTCCCCTCTTCTTCATGTCTCTTCTACATCAACATGTGTCCCCTCTTCTTCATGTCTCTTCTACATCACCATGTGTCCCCTCTTCTTCATGTCTCTTCTACATCAACATGTGTCCCCTCTTCCTCATGTCTCTTCTACATCAACATGTGTCCCCTCTTCCCCATGTCTCTTCTACATCAACATGTGTCCCCTCTTCTTCATGTCTCTTCTACATCAACATGTGTCCCCTCTTCTTCATGTCTCTTCTACATCAACATGTGTCCCCTCTTCTTCATGTCTCTTCTACATCAACATGTGTCCCCTCTTCTTCATGTCTCCTCTACATCAACATGTGTCCCCTCCTCTTCATGTCTCTTCTTCATCAACATGTGTCCCCTCTTCTTCATGTCTCTTCTTCATCAACATGTGTCCCCTCTTCTTCATGTCTCTTCTACATCAACATGTGTCCCCTCTTCTTCATGTCTCTTCTTCATCAACATGTGTCCCCTCTTCTCCATGTCTCTTCTACATCAGCATGTGTCCCCTCTTCTTCATGTCTCCTCTACATCAACATGTGTCCCCTCCTCTTCATGTCTCTTCTTCATCAACATGTGTCCCCTCTTCTTCATGTCTCTTCTTCATCAACATGTGTCCCCTCTTCTTCATGTCTCCTCTACATCAGCATGTGTCCCCTCTTCTTCATGTCTCCTCTACATCAACATGTGTCCCCTCCTCTTCATGTCTCTTCTTCATCAACATGTGTCCCCTCTTCTTCATGTCTCTTCTTCATCAACATGTGTCCCCTCTTCTTCATGTCTCCTCTACATCAACATGTGTCCCCTCCTCTTCATGTCTCTTCTTCATCAACATGTGTCCCCTCTTCTTCATGTCTCTTCTTCATCAACATGTGTCCCCTCTTCTTCATGTCTCTTCTACATCAACATGTGTCCCCTCTTCTTCATGTCTCTTCTACATCAACATGTGTCCCCTCTTCTCCATGTCTCTTCTACATCAGCATGTGTCCCCTCTTCTTCATGTCTCCTCTACATCAACATGTGTCCCCTCCTCTTCATGTCTCTTCTTCATCAACATGTGTCCCCTCTTCTTCATGTCTCTTCTTCATCAACATGTGTCCCCTCTTCTTCATGTCTCTTCTACATCAACATGTGTCCCCTCTTCTTCATGTCTCTTCTACATCAACATGTGTCCCCTCTTCTCCATGTCTCTTCTACATCAACATGTGTCCCCTCCTCTTCATGTCTCTTCTTCATCAACATGTGTCCCCTCTTCTTCATGTCTCTTCTACATCAACATGTGTCCCCTCTTCTTCATGTCTCTTCTACATCAACATGTGTCCCCTCTTCTCCATGTCTCTTCTACATCAACATGTGTCCCCTCTTCTTCATGTCTCTTCTACATCAACATGTGTCCCCTCTTCTTCATGTCTCTTCTTCATCAACATGTGTCCCCTCTTCTTCATGTCTCTTCTACATCAACATGTGTCCCCTCTTCTTCATGTCTCTTCTACATCAACATTTGTCCCCTCTTCTTCATGTCTCTTCTACATCAACATGTGTCCCCTCTTCTCCATGTCTCTTCTACATCAACATGTGTCCCCTCCTCTTCATGTCTCTTCTTCATCAACATGTGTCCCCTCTTCTTCATGTCTCTTCTTCATCAACATGTGTCCCCTCTTCTTCATGTCTCTTCTACATCAACATGTGTCCCCTCTTCTTCATGTCTCTTCTACATCAACATGTGTCCCCTCTTCTCCATGTCTCTTCTACATCAGCATGTGTCCCCTCTTCTTCATGTCTCCTCTACATCAACATGTGTCCCCTCCTCTTCATGTCTCTTCTTCATCAACATGTGTCCCCTCTTCTTCATGTCTCTTCTTCATCAACATGTGTCCCCTCTTCTTCATGTCTCTTCTACATCAACATGTGTCCCCTCTTCTTCATGTCTCTTCTACATCAACATGTGTCCCCTCTTCTCCATGTCTCTTCTACATCAACATGTGTCCCCTCCTCTTCATGTCTCTTCTTCATCAACATGTGTCCCCTCTTCTTCATGTCTCTTCTACATCAACATGTGTCCCCTCTTCTTCATGTCTCTTCTACATCAACATGTGTCCCCTCTTCTCCATGTCTCTTCTACATCAACATGTGTCCCCTCTTCTTCATGTCTCTTCTACATCAACATGTGTCCCCTCTTCTTCATGTCTCTTCTACATCAACATGTGTCCCCTCTTCTTCATGTCTCTTCTACATCAACATGTGTCCCCTCTTCTTCATGTCTCTTCTACATCAACATGTGTCCCCTCTTCTTCATGTCTCTTCTACATCAACATGTGTCCCCTCTTCTTCATGTCTCTTCTACATCAACATGTGTCCCCTCTTCTTCATGTCTCTTCTACATCAACATTTGTCCCCTCTTCTTCATGTCTCTTCTACATCAACATGTGTCCCCTCTTCTTCATGTCTCTTCTACATCAACATGTGTCCCCTCTTCCTCATGTCGCTTCTACATCAACATGTGTCCCCTCTTCCTCATGTCTCTTCTACATCAACATGTGTCCCCTCTTCTTCATGTCTCTTCTACATTAACATGTGTCCCCTCTTCTTCATGTCTCTTCTACATCAACATGTGTCCCCTCTTCATCATGTCTCTTCTTCATCAACATGTGTCCCCTCTGTGGAAAGAGACTCTGAAAGTTTCAGGAGAAAAGATTCTCTCTCTTTTTGTCCTGATCCATTTCTATAAAAACCTGTCTGAAAATGAGCTGATCAGATTTTGGCCACTTTATGATGTCATAACGATGTTTTGGCTTGTGTAACCATTAGCCAATCAGCAACCAAGGTAACCCCCCGCCCCCACCTTATTACCTGAATCTCCTCCTAGAGCACCATTGAGTTCTTTGTAACCAAATCTCTCTCAGAGGGGCGTGGGGAGGGGCTCCTTATTTTCATCTAAAGTAACAGACAGAGAATCAGCACTTTGGAAACAGGGCTGAAACAGAGGGGATTATGGGTAATGCTGCAATGATCTGTTTGGTGTTTCAGCCAATCAGAGACAGGCTCTGTATATATCTGAGACCTGTGATATACTGATGAGAAACAGAATAATAGGGGACCTTTAATATCTCTTGTAAATAAATCACTAATCAACAACGTGACATTTGGTTACCTAACCCTAACCCTAAATCTGCAGATAGCTGAAATGAACTTGCTCAGTTTAGATTCCCAAGTCGTATCGATTCCTCAGCTTGAGCAGAAATCATTAAACAAATGTATTTTTAAATAGCAGAATAACAAGCCTTAAAATGTTCTATATGTCTGTAGTTGCACTTTGTTATGTGCACACACTAACCAACTAGCAGTTAATAAAGTTATGTTTTCATCCTTACAATGAAGGGAAACCACTTCACTGGAAACAAAATGTTGAAACCGCACTTTAACAAAATCTACATCCTCTTGTAGTCACATCTTGACCCTGTTATGAAACTGCGTCTGTCGAGAGACGGTTTCTTTCTCTGTCAAACGGCCTTTTTCTCTTCATACGTCTCCTTAGAAACCACAACCCACATCTCCCCCTACCTCTTTATTTCAAACGGGTTGATTTAATGTGTTTTTGCCCTGTTATCAAAATAGCATACCACTTTCCATCAAATCACCAATACTCTCCACATCCTGTTAGCTACTTCTAAGTGCCACTGAAGAAATGGGGGTTTTACAGGCTGCATAAAACCTGCATAATACCTGTTCCAACGGAAAAAGGTTTAACTGTTCATCCTGTGAGAAATAAAAATACCTTAACAACAAAACAAGTCCTGCAAATGCACATCAGCATGTATCAAATAACTCTCAAGTCCAAAGCACCAAATACAAGTCTGGCGTAAGTCAGGCGTACCAAAGCCTGAGGTCAAATGGAAATAAGAATGAATAACAATTCCTTCACTGGAAGCCATCAGAAAAACGTACATTCAGTGGGCAGTTGAGCAACATTACAAGTCCTTAAAAAACCAGCTGATTGATTGATCGTTGTTTTTCAAGAGAGGTTTGCCGTTAAATGTTATTTTCAGCTTCTAAAGAGAGTTGCTGATTGTCTCTGTTTTAGATAAAGACATCACCTTGGCCTTAGAAAAACTTAGATGTACTGTACATTTTTAATCCTTAAAGACACCATCAATTAAATCTAGAAAATATTCTTCATCATGACAGCAGTAACCCATTTCCTGCCTTTTCCATCACCTGTATAAAGTAGCATAACATAGAAATACTTAGTAAAGAAAAGTACATCAAAACTCTACTTAAGCTCACCTATTATACTATATTTGAACGATATATTATAGGGCCATATCTATAAAAAACATGTCTATGAAGTGTTTTGCTCAAAATGCTAAACAGATCACCCATTGTAGCCTCATCCCCCTCTATTTCAGCCCTGTTTCTAAAGTGCTGATTCTGGGTCCTTAGCTTTAAATGTAACCAAACTGCTGCTGGCCCCTTTGGAGCAGATACTCACATACATTCTGCCGTGATTAAACACCATATCATGTTCCAAACCACATCAAGGATTATTTCTGAAACAGTATGGAGCTCAAACTCTTTCTCTCTCTCAGGTTTACCACAAGGTGAGTTCCTTTTTATTTCCTGCTTCTTCACACAGGTTAGCTCTGAGTGTTAGCGATGCTAATGTAAACAAAGACCATATTACTTCTGACGTTTCTGATGGGCGATAGGTTGGGGCGGAACATTGCCAGGAGTTCAATGTAAAGCCCGCCCACATTTGAGTAATTTCGTCATGCAAATCTGGATCAGCTCCGTTGTTCCCCGTTTTTAGAGATGTGGGTACGGAGGAAAAGAGAGAGGGTTTTATTCTCGGACACTTTGTGAGTCTCCTGACACACCGGGGACACATAGTTATGTAGAAAAGACATCAAAAAGTGCATTTTGCATGATTGGTGACCTTTAATGCTTGAGTAAATGTACTTTTACATTTTACACTCCACCAATTTAACTATTGGCAACACTTCCCTCCCTCTCCCGTTTCTCACCCCCCTCTCTGAGTGCCCCCCACCCGGTGACCCAGCAGAGCAGCCCGGGCTCCAGCTGTTGTGTGGGGGGGGGCAGGCAGGCGGGTCGGTTGTGTCCGGCCAGCAGAGCGGAGGCGGGTCGGTCCAGCTGCAGCAGCGCCAGGTCGTAGTCGTGGGACTCGGAGTTGTAGTACGGGTGGAGCTGGATCCGTAAAACTCGAGCCACTTCTTCAGTGGAGCTGCTGGGGTTCAGACGGAGCTTCCCCAGGTACACCGTCCACACCGAGGGGGAGTACAGACTGCAGGAGGAAGATTATTAACATTAATCGGTGTAGGACTACATTTAGCAAGATACTCCTCTATGCAGATGATGATGCAAAACTCATAATAATATTTATACAGCAACTTCAAAAGATGGATTCTCTACAGACTACTTTAATTGGAGGTAACGTGTCAAAGTTAAACTCCAAAAGAACAACTCTTGTGCAGTGTTTTTCAATGAAGGGGCCCTCAATTCAAACTCTGCACAAGTGATTACAGTGTACGAGATGCAGTGTACTTAGGGAAGTATCCGAAATGAGACACATCAGATGCAAACATTCCCATTAATGCGGAAAGAAACTGTATTAAACAACATGTTGGGTCCAAAGTTCACTGAAGTTGGAAGAGCACGATTTTCCCACTTGGGAAATGGGACCATCTTAAGAGTTCAAAAAACGCACCATTGGCCTTCGTGGAAGTATAGCACTTTTCCAAGAGCTATTGTATATTTGTACAGCTTAAGTGGAAGTTGTTAACTGTTGCCAAGAAATACTTGAGCAACTGTGTCCCTCAGAACGTACTTTCTCAGTCAAAATGTCTACAGAAATATCAACACTTCCAGAACACTATGCAAGCTTTTCACCACTGTTTGAGGAACGCTGAGAGAGATGAATTGTTAATCCTCTACAGCAGGGGTCGGCAACAGGCGGACCGCGGTCCGGATCCGGACCCAGACGCCGACCTATACGGACCATGGATGTATAATAAGAACTGGATACAGCGTGGGAGGCGGGGCCTCATTCATTCCTATGAGAGTTGCTCATTCGCGCATGATGATAAAATGGCCCAACTTTTGAGAGAGCGAAACGTCACAGATTACCCAGCATGCCTGAGAAGTACCCGTATGTGCGCTCATAGCGCATGCGCAACTTTAACCATGCCCCCCAAAATGCTCGTTCACATCAAGCACGTCAATTTGCGTACACGTAACAGCACCGCACGTTCATGACAGCATGGTAATGGTTTGTTATGATAGATTTGATATTAACGAGGCGGCAGTTAGCAGCTAGCGGTTAGCTAGTAATTATGCTAATATATATATATATGTATATATATATATATACCGTGCACAGAACCAGTGTGTCTCATTTGTTTGACCAAACATTCCCTCTCAAGTCAGAACGGAGGTCACAAAAAATAAGCAGTCTCAGAGCCCAATATGATCAGTCGACCAGGATCCAAATTAAAACTAAATATCGTTCCAGGGCAGGCTAACCGAGGCTAACCAATGAGCACCTGCATGTGTATGAGAATGGCCCTGACACCATTTCAGCCCAGATTTACAAACTCCTGGCAGGACAAGCTCGAGCTCAATTCTCGCACTGAATTAAAAAAAAGTGAGTGAGGGACTGCAATATAAGAGGGAAAGAAAGAGAAACTTTAAAACTGTTCAATTGTTATGATGTGTAAAGACTGATATTGTTCTATAATCGTCTGAAACTGTTAAGTCATGATGTGAAACGGTTAACAAAGAAAAAGGGAAACTCAAGCTGCTGCTACACTTTATTTTATTTATCTAAAATTAAGCACTTTTAAGATGCACATATTTTCAAAAGCTATTTTATTTATTTTCTCTATTTTATTTTTAAAAGTTGTTACATGCAGACTGTGGCAGCGGGGTGTGGTTAGGGCGCCGGCTGCTGGTGTGAAGGGAGTGGCTCGGCCGGAGGCCAGACAGCTGATCGGAATCAGGTAATCAATCACTGAATAAAAGCATGTGGTAACCTGGTTCTGGTCTGTCTTGCAGTAGGCAGGATCCTGGGAGGTCGCCGAAGGACCTGTGAAGGATCCCACACGGGCAACGTTTTTATCCCGTGTTGTACACTTTGTTTTGGTGCTAATAAACGCCTGTGTTAAACCCAAACACTGCTCTTTCCGTCCCTCTTTGAACCCTGTGTGAGCAGAGAGGCTCACAGTGGCGCCTGAACAGGGACTCATGTCGGAAGGAGAAACCCCGCTGGGTCAGGCCCTCCAACGTCTAGCCCACATGCAGGAGACCACCACAGCATTGCAGCGACAGCAGAGCGAGGCTCTGCTCGGGATCGCCTCGAGCCAGCGCGAGGACCGGGCCCTCCTACGGGAGCTGCTGCAGCGTCCGGCCGCCCGGGAGGCCGATCCCGCGACCAACCCGGCCCGACCGCCTTCGATTGCCCTCCAGAAATTGACGGCAGACGACGATCCGGAGGCATACCTGGACATCTTTGAGGGCACAGCGGCGGCGTGCGGGTGGCCGGAGGAGGAGTGGGCAGCGCGGCTATTGCCCCTGCTATCTGGGGGTGCGCAGTTAGCTGCCCACAGCCTGCCCGCAGCCTCTCGGCATGTGTACCGATATCTGAGGAAGGCCATCCTGGACCGGCTTGGCAGCACGCCAGAGGGACATCGCCGCCGGTTCCGGGCACTCCCCTTCGAGGACGCTGACCGGCCCTTCTCATATGCGCAACAGCTTCTGGATGCAGCGAGCCGCTGGCTCCAGCCGGCGGTGCGCTCGGCGGAGGAAGTCGTCGGGCAGGTGGCGCTGGAGCAGTTAATCGCCGGCCTGCCATCTTCAACGGCGAATTGGGTCCAGTGCCATCGCCCCGCCAACCTGGAAGCGGCCGTCGTCCTCGCGGAGGACCACCTCTCGCTTCCCCGGCGGAGCGTGAAAGAGGAGCCCCGACCACCGGCTGTCTCAGCGGGCAGACCCATCCCAGCCCCGAGGAGGAGATTTCCTGGAGCAGCTGCCCTTCCTCCACCACCACCACACGGGCCCAACCCCGCAGCCCCGACACTTCACCCCCAAGCCCTACCTTACCCTCCTGTTTTTATCTCTCCCCAGGGTCCGGCCTACGCTTCTGGTCGTCCGGCACCACGGGGAGCTCCTCAGACGCCAGGGCTGGATTGCTGGCGGTGCGGGCAGCCCGGCCACTTCCGACGGGAGTGTCCTCTCATGGAGGTCGGACAGCTGGTCCGGGTTGCGGAACCGCCAGTTGCCTCCCCCGATTTGGAAGGGACGTACCGTATACCGGTATGTATACAGGGGGGTACACACCAGGCTCTGATGGACACGGGCTGCAATCAGACGATGATCCATCAGCGCTTGGTTCGGCCTGGGGCATTGATTGAAGCATCGTGGGTGAAGGTGAGGTGTGTGCATGGGGATATTCACCAGTACCCGGAGGTGACGCTGGAAATTTCTTATAAGGGAAAAAAGCATAGAGTCAGGGCTGGAGTTAGCACTCACCTTACGCACCCTCTGATTTTGGGAACGAATTGGCCGGGGTTTGCTAAGCTAGCGGGGGCTATGGGGGTGCGTTCACGGACGGCAGGGAAATGTGAGTTGTGTGCTGTGTTTAGTGGAGAGTCGGAGGCGGCTGACGATGTCGAGGGGGAAACGGACACGGAGGGGGCCGCGGAGGTCCCTCTGGCCCCGCTGGTGTTTCCCTTGGAGGATTTCCCCCTCGAACAGTCGAGGGACGAGACCCTTCAGCACGCCTTCGACCAGGTGGTGAGTATTGATGGCTCCCAGCTACACCCAAACGCAGCACTCACTCACCCACACTTTACGGTGGTTAGGGACAGGCTGTATCGTGTGAGCCATGACACACAGACAGGAGATATAAATACCCAGTTGTTGGTGCCAAAAAGCCGTCGGGAAATGGTTTTCCAGGCGGCTCATTATAACCCCATGTCAGGTCACCTAGGGTACGACAAATCACTACACCGGATAATGGCCCGATTTTATTGGCCGGGCATTCGCGCAGATGTGAAGCGGTGGTATGCATCTTGCCGTGAATGTCAGCTGGTTAACCCGCCGGCCACCCCCAGGGCGTCTTTGCGCCCGTTACCATTGATTGAGGTGCCTTTTGAGAGAGTTGGTATGGACCTCATCGGGCCATTAGACCGGAGTGCACGGGGATATCGCTTTGTACTGGTCCTAGTGGATTATGCCACGCGATATCCCGAGGCAGTGCCGCTGCGTAATATCTCTGCAAAGAGCGTCGCACAGGCACTGTTTCACATTATCTCCCGAGTCGGGATCCCGAAAGAGATCCTGACTGACCAGGGCACACAGTTTATGTCACGCACACTACGTGAGCTGTATGAACTATTGGGCGTCCATTCAATACGGACTAGTGTTTACCATCCTCAGACCGACGGCCTGGTGGAACGGTTTAATAAAACACTAAAGAACATGGTTCGTAAGTTCGTTCACGAAGATAGTCGTAATTGGGATAAATGGCTAGATCCTCTGTTGTTTGCAGTGCGGGAGGTGCCCCAGTCCTCCACGGGATTTTCTCCCTTTGAGCTCTTATTTGGCAGGAAGCCCCGGGGTGTTTTGGACCTAGTTAAGGAAAACTGGGAGGAGGGTCCAAGCACCAGTAAAAACGAAATACAGTACGTTATGGACCTGCGAGCAAAACTCCACTCACTGGGGCAGATATCACGGGAGAATTTGCTCCAGGCTCAGGAACGTCAGCAGCGCCTGTACAACAGAGGGTCGAAACTGAGACAATTTTCACCGGGAGATAAAGTGCTTGTATTACTCCCATCCTCTAGCTCTAAACTACTCGCCAAGTGGCAAGGACCCTTCGTGGTCACACGACGAGTGGGGGACGTAGATTATGAGGTGGTGCGTTCTGACAGGGGGGGAGCAACACAGATTTACCACCTTAACCTCCTGAAAGCATGGAGGGAGGTGGCGTCTGTTTCTCTCCCTTTTGTGTTGCAGACCGACGCCTCGAACAGTGGGGTGGGGGCCGTTTTGTCCCAGCAGGTGGAGGGGGTCGACCGCCCCGTACTGTACATTAGCCGTAAGCTCGCCCAGAGGGAGGTGAACTACAGTACGGTGGAAAAGGAGTGCCTCGCCATACGGTGGGCGGTCGGCGCCCTGCGGTACTACCTCCTGGGGCGCCCTTTCACCCTCTGGTCGGACCATGCCCCGCTCCAGTGGCTCCACCGCATGAAGGATGCCAACGCCCGGATCACTCGGTGGTATCTGGCGCTACAGCCTTTCAACTTCAAGGTGATCCACAGGCCGGGTAACCAGATGGTCGTGGCTGATTTCCTCTCTCGCTCGGCGGAGGGGGGGGGGGAGTCAGTTTTGGGCCGAGGTCCAGCCAGCTGAGCCTGCATGGCTTTGAAAGATGCGAGTGTATGTGAATACATAAATACGCTGGCTTTGAGTCACACAGGCTGTTACAGCAAAGACACAACAGAAAAAACGTTTGGTGGAAACAGAAAGGTAAACCAAAGTTGTCTGAAAAGTTCTAACATGCTAAAAAGGCTTTATCCACTTCATTGAATAAACATCTTTAAATGGGGACGGTCGCAACACTTTTTGAATTGCTCTCAATTACTCAGAGACTCTTCGGTGTCGACCAACCTTTTTTTTATATATATTAAACTTGCGTATCTGTGCTAATTATCCATATGGATTATAACATATCATCTGAGATCACTCAGAATGTATATTTGAAAGCAAAAAAGTAAATCCTGTAAAAGTTAGTCAGCTAATTTCACTTTTTGTCTCAATAAGCATTGCATTGTCAGGATTGCAACTATGGACATTATTAAAACAATATTATAGATTTATTTATAAAATAATATTAAAGTGTCATTCTGGCAACATTTTAATATAAAGACAACTGGTTGCAGCATTGAAAGCTGGGCACTGTTTGTTAATTAAAAAGCTGCTTAGTGGCACGAAAAAATTCAAATACCAGGTTTAAAATTACCAGGATCTCAAGCATCCTGCACTTACCTGTCGTCATCGAAACAGTGGGCGGCGGACACAACCCATTGGCTGGAGATGAGCGCCCCCCCGCAGATGTGGTAGCCCCGCACCTGGAGGCTGGCCTGCCATGGCCACTCCCCCTCCGTGGCGTTAGCCCCGCCCACAATACGACTGGAGAACTGCCTCAGGCCGCAGTCTGAAAACACAGGAGTGTTAGAACTAACAGGTATAAATATGCAGAGCAAGTTCAATATGCACTGTAAAAACTGTAAGAAATGTTACTCAAAGTAATTAGTTTATCTTAGCAAAATGACAACGTTTTAAAAAATTACCTCACTTCAAAAATGGTTTACCCAGAAGAAAAAATCTCATGACTTTTTTCAGAAAATCTTAAAATCCTGACTTTTTCTTGAAATGTCAGAAATATGACTTTTTCTCAAAGTTCTGATATTTTCCAGAAAATCTCTAAATCGAGATTTTTTTGAAAATCTCCAAATCCTTACTTTTCTCCTGAAAATGTAGAAATTCTGACTTTTTTGAAAAATCTCCAAATCCTTACTTTTCTCCTGAAAGGTCAAAATTCTGACTTAAAAAAAAAAATAATCTGAGATTTTTCAGAAATTCCTGACATTTTCAAAAATAATAAAAAAATCAAGATTCTTTCTTCGATACAAATATACAGTGCAATTTTAATATTCACTCTGTAAACAAACTGTTAAACCTGTTACTGAGCTTGAACTTTTAACAATGAGGCAACAATTTCAAAGCTGTTTGCTGAACTTCTGCATTTTCTGAGTTGGTTAAATTTACTAATTTTGTTTGCCTGTTAATATAATCATTATGGTATAAAAACAAATGGCTGTGATCACGTGCAAGCATTCAAAGTTGCAACCTCAAAACACTTGAGCTCTTAATCACCTCATTTTGCAAACAATTACTTTATTTTCCAAATAATTAGTTTGTCTTTGCAAAATGACAAAGTTTTCAAAAATGATGTTAATAAGTTTTGTTCTCAAAATTGCTAAATCATAGCTTTATTTGTTTAACATTTCAATTTTAAAACTGAATTCTGACTTTTTTTTCTCCAAATTCTGACCTTTTTCTCAAAGTTATTACCTGATATCGAAGTGTTAAAAATAGGAGTCGGGGACCCTATCGAAGTGTTAAAAATAGGAGTCGGGGACCCTATCGAAGTGTTAAAAATAGGAGTCGGGGACCCTATCGAAGCGTTAAAAATAGGAGTCGGGGACCCTATCGAAGTGTTGAAAATAGGAGTCGGGGACCCTATCGAAAAGGAGAAAAACGAAGAATAGGGCAAGAAATTAGTGTAAAGAGCAAAGGATCAGATCTTAAACTGCACTGTAACTTTTATTCATGTATTTTTTCTTTTAAAGGTCCTTTAAAAGTCATGGCCATTTCTACTGATCATAATTCCATTGTTGAGGTCTACTAGAATAGATTTATATTGTGCAATTGTCTTTGAATTGCCTTGTGTTGAAAGGTGCTATATAAATAAACTTGCCTTGCCTTGATGAGAAATTTCAAATCCTGACATTTTTCAGATGATTTCAGAACTCTGACTTTTGTCAGAAAATGTCAGAGTTCTGACTTTTCCCGAAAATATCGGAATTCCTCACACACACACACTTTCTGAGTTTTTCTCAAAATTCTAATTTTTTCCAGAAAATCTCTAAATCAAGATTTGTTTTTTTTAAATATCCAAACCTTAATATTCTCCTGAAAAAAATCTGAAAATCCTGACTTTTAAAACAAAATCTCCAAGACGTGACATTTTTCCAAAAAAAATAAAATTCTGACATTTTTCTCAACATCCTGACTTTTTACTCCCAACACATGAAGTCTAATAGCATCTTTGGAAACCTGTCAAAGACAGTATGAAACATATCACAAAGTAAATGTATACTAATAAAACACATATTAATTAAGTGTGTTATTAAATGTGTGTATCTGCTCACCACAGTGCTTCTCATCGGAGGCGTCGGGGCAGTCGGTCACAAAGTCACACTCGGGGTTCGGCTTCTTCAGACACGTTCCATCAGCACACACATAGGTCCTATCTGAACACTGCACACCTGCGCACACACACACACACACACGCACGCACGCACGCACACACACACCCACACACGCGCGCACGCACGCACGCACGCACGCACGCACGCACGCACGCACGCACGCACGCACGCACGCACACACACACACACACACACACAATTCTGAGGTCAGAAATCAGTAAAATAAAGCCACGAAAAAGATTAAAATATTAAAATGAAGGAAGTAGATTTAGCAAAAGGCTGGCAGGTGATTTAGTGTGTGTGAGATGTGCGAGTGGTGTGTGTATGAGTGTTTGTGTTTGTGTGTGTTCAGTACATGCTTGCGTGTGTGTGTGTGTGTGTGTGTGTGTGTGTGTTACCTCCAGTACAGTTAATCTCGTCTGATGCTGCGGTGCAGTCTGGGAGTTGGTCACACACCTTGTAGTAGTCCACACACTGACTGTCCTCTGGACACTGGTACTGCGCCACACACACTGTGCCACACACACACACACACACACATACACACACACACACACACACACACACACACACACACACACACACACACACACACGCACACACACACACACACACACACACACACACACACACACACACACACACACACACACACACACTAAAACATTTACCAATGTGCAGAAGCTTTCAATCATGGCGTCTTGTGTTTTCTCTCTCTTTTTGATTAAATCACCAATAAATAAATACCACAGTTGCTCTCGTCAAGTCCGTTGGGACAGTCTTTGATTCCATCACAGGCGGGAACACACAGGCCGTTAATGGTGCACAGAAACTGACCAGGGCACGCTGTAAAACACACACACACACACACACACACACACACACACACACACACACACACACACACACACACACACACACGAAACACACAAAGGTTACTTAGCAATTAATTTCTTGGGTGTGTTTACTGCATGCACAACTCACGATCTGATTGGTTGAAGACTCTGTATCGCAGCTGAAGTCCCGGCCCTGTGATTGACACCTCTGACGTCATGACAACCGTGGTCGTCGTGGAGATTAGGAAGAGGCGCTCGGTGTAGGGCTGCAGAACCCAAGTACCGCACAGTCTGAGGAGAGGACAGACACACATTTTGACACTTTTTATTGATTTGTTCTGAGAGAATGTCAATAACTCTGTACCAAAAGCATGAATACATTGCAAAAATGGAAGTGCAAAAAAGTTTAAGAGACACACAACTGAATTAAATATATTTATCGCCAGAGTTAGCCAACAGGCAGTTTTTTTCTGTAGTCCGAATGTGTCAGTCACCCTAGGAAACAATTTATTATATTAAAAAAAATAATTACAAACATGCAACATTGAGACTCACAATACAGAATAGTAATATTACATGCCAAAATAATAAGGTAAATGATTCTCAACAAATGGACCTTATTGTGATCTCTTATTTGACAGTGTTTCAAGATCACGCACAGCAGAAATACAGAGATAGAAACATACTGTAGATAAAAATAAAACATGCACTTGACTCTCAGTTCATCCACGGCACAAATAACAAAAAATTGATTGTGGTTTTAAAATCACAAGATGTAATTAGACAGGTTAAATTGAACAGACATGTAAAACGCCTCGAAAAAGACATACAATGTCCTTGTCTTAAAAGTGTGTAAATAGCTCTAACAGGACACTGCTGCCCCCTGTTGTTCAGAACAGATCATGACCTTTATGAAAAACTTTCAACATGCACAAGCACTTCCTTTTTGACACTAAACCAGACATAGGTGGCCGTTATAAATAGAAAGAGGACATTTCTGGGATCTGTTGATTATTTAGCACAGGGGTGTCCAAACCTTTTCACCGAGGGCCACATACAGAAAAATATACGAAGGGCTGGGCCACTTATAGAGGTGCGGTATACTGCCTCGTAAGTTAACCTGTTAAGCCCTGAGCCTGTTTTTCAGGGCTCAGGCTCGAAAATGACATTCCCAGAACAAATGACCATAACTACACTTCTAAAAGGGCAAAATTAATAATCTTTTTTTTCAAAGTAATGATAAACCTGTGAGTTGGATGTAGAGAAGTCAGAATCAATATAGATGTTTTTTATTTTAAAGAAAATTCAGATTGAACATAGTAAAAAACTGTAAATTATAGTGTCCGTCCAGAAATTATTTTTTACTTATAGGGAAAACAACCTGGTCTCACCAGAATGCGTGACTCCACCACGACTCCTTAACACCGCAGTGCGTGGTGGAGTCACGAACTTTGTTACATTTACGTGTCTGCACCACGCAAACAACCCCAATGTAAAGTGAATGAGGCTCCTTTGTCGTGGTGCACACACGCATTTACAACGTCCAGCATTGAGCTTTTATTCTATAAAACGTTTTTAAAATCTACTTTATAGCTTGTAGTAACTCACGGGAGGCTTCTTTTATTTTATTTGTATTCATAATCATTTTTATTTTTTGTCAGAATGTATTATGGTGCATTATTCACCAATCTTTGTTCTCAAAAAACAGTGCATTGTGTGTAATACAACTGTGATTTTTATTAAATGAGTTAGTTTTTAAGGAAGGCCAGAGCTTCAGCTGTGTCAAATAGATTGTTCCCTTTAGTTAACGTTATTTAAAAGATAATTATATTCCTATTTGATCAAGTCCCCTTTATTGTATTACGGACCCAAAGAGCAATGTGAGCGTCCATTCCCATTGGATAACGGAGGATTTTACACCCGGAAGTAAGTATTCTCCTTACTGTCGATTGATTTTATTTACAGTAATATCTGCACTACTCATCAACTCAAAAACACCAGATTATCCTTGTTAGTTACACAACATTGATTGGTTTAAATTGTGTACAATGCTTTTGTATTTTCCCCTTTCGATTCGGAGAAACAAATATATGTTCAGAGTTTAGGATGGCCGAAGACACTACACTACCCAGAATCCTCAGCTATTGTTCTAGAATTGTTTGCAGACGTGGTGCAGACACGTAAATGTAGCAAAGTTCGTGACTCCACCATGTACTGCGGTGTTAAGGAGTCGTGGTGGAGTCACGCATTCTGGTGAGACCAGGTTGAGTGAAAACCACCCTTGGATGATGGGTTAGTAGACTAAAAGCTTTAGGAATCCAAAGTACAACATATAATAAGTACCCTGCTTCAAGATTGATGCAAAACAAGTGACATTTTACATTCTGTGTCATCTCACGATCAGATCGATGGGTTGGATGTGCAGAAAGGATAAATAATAAGGTTTTATGAGTGAGTTTCGGTGCAGTAATCTGTTAGCATTTTTCGCTCGTTGCCAATTCAGAGGCTCAGCGTTAGCATTGTGGGTTGTTTTTTGAAAACAAAATAAAAATGATCAGATAGATGAGTTTCTTCCCGTTACATGGATATAAAACATTCATAGTTTATTAAATATTAAGATGCCCTCAGACACTGTTTCCTGCAAGATGTTGCGGGAGGGCCCCGGTACCGGGGTCTCTCGGGCTTAACAGGTTAAGAAGCAAACAGCCTACATCACAGCTCTCTACAGATGGAGCAGCTTATTTCAGACTCCAGCTTACTGCTTCCTGCCTACTACCTGCCTAAGACCTGCCTAAGACCTGCCAAAGACCAGTATCTGGGAATGTTAAGCCCTCCCACTATTTTCCAAGAGGGCGTTGCCAGATTTTCAATTTCAGGATTTAACCAGGAGATGGCGCTTCCTTCACAAAAACAGGAAGACAACTTTCATGGACTTTCAGTTTTGTTTAGAAGAGCATTTGAACACATCAATATTTTAGATCAAATAAAGTATATCTAATCTTGTAATTCAATAATATATAGTCTTTATATATTAAATAACTATGGCCAAACTAAGACTTAGTTTTTCAAAAGAGAAAATGCAGATATTATATAAAAAAACTAAAGTTAAAATCTTGTTTTTAATGCCCCAAGAGCAATAAAAACACTTGGTAAAAAAAATCCTGAGTGAGGCTTTCATAAATTGCATTTAGCTGACGCTTTTATCCAAAGCGACTTACTATTTAATAAATGATAAATGATTATTCATAACAAATATGAGTGATTATTATTCATGCTATATACTGATATAGGGCTAAGTAAGCAATCAATCCTGCAAATTAACCCTTAGTTGTTCAATATATTTATTCAGACAATGTGAGTAGAAATACAGAAATTCTGCTCCCACCTAAGGCCAACGTTGCAATATTACAACATTTCCCTAAAAACGTACCAAAACGTAAACATTTTTAAAACTCTTTCATTTCTGCTCCAGAGGCCAGGGGTTAAATTGGGATTTGATATGTGGGGGGGCTCTGTTAGAAGGTGCGACGGAGGGGGGGGGGGGGGGGGAGAGAGTTAGACGCTCGTGAATTGTCAACGGGGGGGTTGTCGGCCGTAAGCGAACCGGGCCGTTGGCGTCCGGCCGTTCTGTGATTCACCAGAACTCACAGCTGGCCAGCGGCCCACCGGGATAAGTCCCGACTCTCCGGACGGCCAATCCGTGCCTCCCCTGACTGCACGTTGCTGACACACACCGCTGCAAACTCTCTGCACGGAGGAGCCGCGGAGGAAGAAACACACGTTCACTAAGCCGAAAAAACTATATCCGGTCACAGTGATCTGCTATTTTAAAGTAAATGCAACACATATCGACCCTAAATATAGCATATATTAAGAACGACAAAGTGTTAACATCGTTTTTTGTAAACATACAGATGGAGCCTCTTATTTTGGACCCCAGCATACAGCTTCCTGCCGACTGCCAGCCAGTTGCCAGCCAGTTGCCTGCCAAAGACCAGTATTCAGGAATGTTAGGCCCTCCCACTATTCTCCAATTTCAGGGTTTAACCAGGAGATGGCGCTATATATTAAATAACTAAGACTTCGTTTTTCACAATAGAAAATGCAGATATTATATAAAAAACTAAAGTTAAAATCTTGTTTTTAATGCCCCAAGAGCAATAACATCTTGTCACAAGCTTTTTGGAAGAAAAAGACTGACTCAAGAGACCTGTAGTTGACTAATTACAGGCCTCAATAAAGTTCTGCCATTGGTTGTGAAAAACAACGGTGGACATAGTGGAAAGTGAAATTGACATTGTCGAATTTAATAAAAATACAAAATAATGTATCTGTGTACGTGTTTTACTATGTGATCTGCACTTATCAAACATCTAATTAAGGCGAGACACCCCAGGTGAATAGGGTATTTTTAACTTAAAGATATCAGCTAAATATTTCTCCAGTTAATTACTTACAATAAGGCAATTGTTTTTTGTATTACAAGTTTTCTGAAATAGCATGTTTAAATATCCAAATGAACCATTATCTCATGAAATATGCGCATATTTTAACACATTTCAGGAACCGAAATCTGAACTTTGGATAAAGCCAGGATCAAAATTATTGTTTCATTTTGTAGTCATATTAGTATCTAAGGCTTTTACAGAAGGGATTTTGGATATCTCTTTTTATCACTCCATAAATCAGAAAATACTGTCAACAGCCCTAAAATATCAATTTTCACCATGTTTTTAGGTATAAAATGTTATATAATTCAGGCTATGAATTATATATGACCAAACCCTTCTGTAAAAGCCTTCATAATATTGATAGGAATATAACTGGAAGGTTTGGTGTATGTAACTGCTGAGTGATTCTACAATTTAGGGTACATTCCATGTCCATTGATGTCCATTGATGATAATTATAATTATTCTAACTATTTTCTTCAAAAATATCATATTTTGCCTATTATTGGAAAGCATGTTATAATATCACACAAACATTATGTGCATCCTATGCTTTATTTAGCTTGAAATGTGTCATGATGTTCTTAAATTGTCAGTTTTTGCTATGTCCGTTTTTCAGTTGAGGGTGTCTTGGATTCAAAATAATGAATAAAAACCATTAAAGTAAATTTAAAAAATGATTCATTTATTTCAAAAGTCTAAATACTAAAGAATAATAACATATTTTTAATTGATTTCCCCCTTTAAATAATTTAAATATCTTAATATATGAATGTCCGCAAAAGTTCTGTCAACTATGTTACTAACAGAACTTCCCCCTTTAACTCAAAAATTGTTTGT